GCATCTCACGTTGCCTTACCTCACAGAGCACACTGTGATCTGTGCTCCTTTTATTGATTTGATCATGAAGAACATGGGGGTAATGTGAATAATCCGAGGTAATTATTGCTTTTTATATTACCGCATTATGCCAAAATCGGTCAGGCCGTAAGGCCTAAATTATGAAAGCTTTACAATAAAATGTTTTTACGAATGAGAAGTGAAGAATTTTTTTGAACAAATCCTTTTGTATACAGAGTAGGGATAGTATTGTGCTGTATCGCACATAGACAGTGAAATCTGTGATATCCTGAGTTTTACCCTCATTCGGGGTTAATTATTCGTAGGTTCATTATTTTTGTCTTTCTTCGTCGAAAAGCTGCCTTAGATTCCATCGACTGGTGGTACTCTGTCGCTGTCTCCCCGTGAGGTGTTTACCGGTGAAGTTTATTTCACCGTTGGTATCCCGGTGTATGAGCAATCGGAGCTGTGTTCAAATTACACCTTAGTTCATCACTACTGAAAGCGGTTTGCACCGGGACTGCCCTCCATTCCTCTTCAACTTATATTAGTAAATATGACTTTGAATGGCGTATTGATGAGTGAAGATTCAAGTCTTAATCCTTTCCGGACAATTTGCGTAGTAGTATCTCTACGTTTAACGCGCTCTTTGCGCTTTCAACTTAGAAAATGATGTTACAAAACCGTTTGGGTTCAGCTCTCAATCTCACATTACGAACTGAGAGGAAAGCAAGAGAAAGTAGACAACTGTTTCATATATTTTGTGGGAATGTGGTCAATAATTTTTCTAACTAGACACAAATCGGTGTTTGAGCACTACAGTCTATACAGGCTAATGGTACGAATCTGATGCGTGGACCGGACAGGTAACGTCAAAATGGAGCACAGTATCTTGGCTAAATGCGACTGTCTACCGAAGCAAATACCGCCATAGATTGCGATGTCTGGTCCGCGTCTCCACGCATGTCACAGGACATGTTTGCCGAAGCTAGCGGTGCGTGAACAAAAAATTACTTTACTAAGTTGGGATCTTGCATAAGGAGGGGAGCCTCGATCATGTACTTCGCCCTAGTCTTCCTGGCTGCGGACCTCAGGATCGATGTAATCCGCGGTCAGAGACGTTGGGTGATATACTTTGAGTGTCGTGAGCCGTAGAGCACGTGCATATAATCACTGTAGATAAATTCAGTTCATTTCGTTGTTTATCTTTATTCTGATTCTGTTAATCCGGCTTGGAACTCTTCGGTGTGCTCTTTTGTCATTTGTCGAGATAATACATCGCCAAAGTACAGCAACTAAAACCATATCACAATAGTGCAAGCACAGTGGCTGTGCAAAATGAACCAAATCAAACTTTGCGAACAACACATTAAAGCTGAATCAGCTATCTTGAGGCTGTCCAGTTTTTTACCTCACGTGTCCCTAGCTCTAAAAATCACTATGAATTACTGTGTGTATTTTTGTAACCGGCAATCATTTCAAGTTGATATTTCCAAGGTGTTGCCTGAAATATCGGTGTCAATCATTTTCCGTCAAAGTGTGCATCACTTGGCACGCTCTCCCGTCTCATTTTGTTTCTGTGCTAACTGTTCAATCTTTCAAGCAGAGACTTGATAAAACCCTGGCACACCTACATTCCTACAGAGCTAAAAATGCAATTTAGTTGAAGACGACATCATGTATTATCTCCTGTTTGGAACTATATGTGCCATTTACCACTTTTTTGCCTAGAAACGATCCAATTGTGTAGATATCCGTAAATAATTCTCATACCAAAAGTTTGACTTTCGCTTTAAGTTGATTCATTCCGATTGCGTTGCTTTCGGTTACCATAGATAGGCCTCTCAAATCTTCCAGTAGCGGTCCAGAGTAGCTAACGATGTCGAACCGCTTGTTGAATCCAAATGATAAGTCTTATTTGGTAATTGTAGCAGTCTAGGTTTCCACCAACCTAGGATCCTGAACTTCTTTCTCTACTTTTAGTTTGATCGTAAAACATTCAGATTCTCATTGTTTTCCGTTCCCCGTGTAGGATCAATTGTCTTACGCTATCGAATCGCAAGAAGGCGATGATGGAGCTTCACCTGACTTGCAACAGCAGAATACGAATGAGGCAACCGCTGCCCCACCACCATCATCTGTGCCCACCAATCCGGAGGGCACTATCACGGACAGTGTGACTTTTCTGTTACTAAACTTCGCCGAAATGAACAAACTGTGGGTACGCATGCAACATCAGGGACATACTCGTGAACGGGAACAACGAGAGCAAGAACGACGGGAACTGAGACTTCTTGTCGGTACAAACCTAAACAGATTGTCCCAACTGGAAGCTATTGATGTGAATCGTTATAAAACGGTTAGTGTTTTCTATTGTTCACCGGATTCTGCTGTACTTTGAAGTAGTTTGGTCAGCACCGTAGTGAAGGTCGTTAGGTTTTGGTGAAATTGAACAGGGAACAAAGTTTAAAAGGTTTTGATTGATTGTTTTGCCTTCAGAGCATTCTGGTTTTACCGAACAAGGTTTAAAAAGCCATGTTTTATCTGGAACTAACAGTGACCACGTTATGAAAGTTTCCAACCGACTCATAATCCTGGAGGCTAGTGCTGAGATGAGCGAGGCACGATGCCCGCAACAAGCTCGCAAAGATAGATTGTTCTATGAAATGAAATCGAATCCTCCCATACTCTCATGCAACAATGCAAAACAGTTGTAGTTGACTAGTTTCTGAATCCTCGGTGTTTTCCGTTTCTGTTTATCCTTCGCTCATGGCTTTTTTTAGCCTTCCCAGGTTGATATTGCGATTTGTTTACTGAGTGGCACATAGGCGCGTCTCAATGGCCAGGGATGCTTGTATCCGGCCTGCTAAGAGGTTAGGTGTACAGTCATGTGATGTACGATGAGGCATTATTCCAATCACTCGCAGTTCAGATGCGGTCCAAAGCTTTGGACAGGAAGACAATTCCCGAAATTTGTTTGATTGGGGGGTTTTGCCTGGTCCGATTGATTTGTGGTTTGACTGTACCACAGTCGTTAGAAACCTGTGACCTACTGGACGGATAGAAGCACAAACTGCACATGGACGTGATGTGATGGCTTATGTACTTCTATGACCCAACGAGTTACACAGGATGGCGTTCATCAAGTCAGAAGATCTTGTCATACCTGAAACGTCAGAGGATAGAGGTCAGACAAAGTTTAGTTTCCCGTTCCTCCAGGCGAAATGGTGGACGAGTAATCAATTCCCTTGCGCTTTGTCCGCTCCTTTGCTGTTAGGTTCTTGCCAGAACTGAAGGCTTCGAACAATAATCCTAATCGTTTCTCCGCTTGGCAGTTGGACACCCTAGCAGTACCCGTCCATCAAATACAAAGTGCATTCTGAGTTTGGCATTGATCAGTAAAATTCATTTCACCATATTCCGCTATGTGGTGATGGTGATGATTGTGCTGTTCAGTGAACAAATGGATATCGAACCTCAGCAATCTGGCATAAAGACCGGAAAAAAGTTGAGTGGAAGCTAAAAAACCACAAACGTAGGTTACACTCTGGTACGTTCCAACATACTGTCTGTGATGCACACAGCACTGCGAGAAGCTTGTCTTTCAACGGAGTAGAGAAGCACTATCATTAAATCGACAGCTCTCGAAATCCACAAATGGGATGAAACAGCTGCCTTGCATTGCTGTTCGGAACTCTGACTGTGTTTATTCAATCCATAACTCGCGCACTGGTTGTTTCATATCGATAGATGGTTTGCAATGGACTCAATGATTTGGATTGTTTGTGCACTACTCATCTTCATAATCGTTATCGAATTTTCTACCACCGTTTCTGAAAGCCCACCACCTCACCCGCGATTCATTGTTACGAATGGGTGAAGGTAAACTGGTCTGCTCTTTTACCATGTGAGAATATTGAAAAGTTGGCATTTGTACTTCTTATTTTCTGGTTACTGTTCATCATTTAGACTGCCCTCGTTAATAGCTGTTTGATGTACAAATGCAATCGGATCTCAGTTGCTCATCTGTTCTGACACGTTGTATTCTTGATTTGTAGCAAGTACTTCCTCCCATATTGGAACAACTCATCGAATGTCGTGACGTGATTGCGCAAGAGTATTTGATGGACGTAATCATTCAGGTAAGTCCCATACTCCTTCACGCGGACCCAGCAAGTTTTGTGACATCTGTCCTTATGATTCCGATCATGCAGATCTTCATCGGTTTGGGAATGGTAACAGGAAGTTTGGTGAATCAGTAGAGGCAAGTAACAGAGCGAAACCCCAACATCTCAAGTGGCTTACATATTGAATCGCGCAATCAATTTTAGTCGATCGGGCGATAAAACATATCATGATATATAGTGGAACGGTTCAATTTCATATGCTCAACGGTCTATCATGTAGTCTTTGCAATCTGTAAGCGGTGATTTTAGGTTACCGAAAGATAACACCCAGTAGGATAAACATGATATTAAGCAACGGGGTGCAGTTATTTATAATAAAATAATTCATTTTTATTATGCTCTGTTCTTGCGAAAAACCCTTGCTGACCTTGCATTGTTTCGGCACTCAAAGTTTCAAGAGTCCGGTTCAGTTTGTTGGCTTTCAAGACCGCGCGGTGGGTTCTCGAGATTATCGGAGAATGTTTTTTCCGCTACCACTAACAGTAGGCACACTACCCTCCCCCTATCTCGGTGTTGTCACCTGTCGTTAAATGTAAACTGTATCGAGTTGTGCATCCCACTTGATAACTATCTGCCTATTCATTGTATCATAAACGTACTATTATGAGGAGTATCAGTTCACTTTGCTTGGACTAAGGCTATCGGCTTCCGTAACTATACATTGTGTTATGTCACGCGAACGACATTCATTCGTTCTCTAACTCGTCTGCCCTTAACACACGTCAAAACGATCCTCAACAGAAAAGTCGTTTCCGGTTCGGTGTTTCCTATTTTCTAACCATCTATCACGCATATGCCGCACATTGTTCACCTGGTGCTGGGCTCGCATTGATAATACTGGTTCAACTCAGTTCATCACCTGTCATCGTTACCTTTCTGTTCAACCGTGACAGAATGCTGACGGTAGACTTTCAGCAGCCGAACAATTTAATACTAAGTGAAGATGGAGTTAAATTGCGCACTTTTGAACATTGATATGACAGCTTTGCTCACGGTATCTTTGTAACCTTCAAATTACTCGGTTGGGTTTATATCATTTGACCTCTTGTACAAAGCTCAAATCCGCCCGACACTCCAATACTGCAGTCACGTATGGGATGGAGCTTCGTATTCCGCTCTTCCTCTCCTCAACCATGTTCAACCTAAGGCCATTTGGCTGATCAATGAACCGTCCTTAACTTCCAACCTGCAGTCGCTTTCCCATCGCCTGGAAGTTGCCTCTTTATCTCTTTCCTATCGTCACTGTTAAGCTTTATGCTCTTCTAAGCTCGCTTCAACTGCTCCCTTCTTGACCTTTTCTCATCCATCTTGTTCTCGGACAGGCAGTCATCCTTATCAGGTTTCTGTCCCCACACGTCGAACCTCTATTTTCCAGTCTTCTCTTTTCTCACAACTGCGAAATTCTAGTACACTCTACCCATCTTCTTATTTCCGAGCACTCATAATCTTTTCAATAGCAGGATTAACAAATTGATTCTCACTTAAATGTTCTTCCACATACCTTCCTCTGTACAATATGTCATTAGTTATGGGGTTTACCTTTTTTGCTATAAATCGCTTCGTTTTTAATAAAAAAAACCCAGGAACTCAAGAATACTGATAGTTCAATTCCGCGGTTGTCTCCATCGTACTAGGCGTTCAGCGTTGCCTCGGTTTGACGGAAAAACGCCAAAAACAATGAAGAGGTTAGACTGACACATGTGGCAGACTTGCATAGATTTCGTTTGTTGTAGTATATGCTCCGTGTGTTCCCGAATAGATAGATAGATAAGGGTTCAGAAAAGGTTGGCGGTGATCGACTGCTAAACTGTGTCAGTTAGGTTGTCACGGTACTTGATTTCCCGATTGTTTGGTTGCCTCGTGGTCAACCTAATCGATTTTTGCAGACACTCACTGCGGAACTAGGTTGACCTGTGATCGTGAGTAGTGGCGCGTGCATCTGATATTCCCTGTGGTGCATATCGTTATCTCGGGACAATTGTCTTTCTACTTTTCCTTGTTGACTGATTCAGTTTGTGGATTTCTAAACAATGACCACGGAAACCAAAACACAAAACCCCAGTTTTACTGCTAAAACCTGAGAATGTTGTAATCATACACACGCACATACCTCGAAGATAACAGTGTTGATTCTTGAATTTCCTCAGAGCCAAGTTCAAATTCGCAGTGTGGGTTTGTTGCAGTTTAACCGTCAATTCTTTACTGGAAACTTAGATTGTTTCAGGGGTAGAGTTTCATCTATCTGGTGACTTAAAGTTAACCAATTACCGCAGACCACATCACAGTTTGTCACCGAAATACTCTCTAGAGATTGATTTTAGAGCTTCTGTTCAGTCTTTTAATTGAAATTCGGACCCTGTCCGTCTTCAGGTGCCTAACGATTCGCGCAAATGATCTTTGACGTCCTACTGTTGTCTGGTCGAGTACTGTCCTATTTTCTTTTGCATTCCGATGGTTTCTTTTCTTTTCATGCCATTTTAGTCGAATCTGTAAAGACTGGTATATATAGTATGGTATAGTATATGCAGTATATGGTAGTCTATATAGTATGCGTTATTTCCATTTCATCGATCACAACACGCCTTTTGTGTACTTTGTTACCAGGTTTTCCCAGATGAATTTCACCTAGCTACACTTCCTCTCCTGCTTCGCACCTGTGGCCATTTACAGTGTGGCGTAAAACTACGACAAATTGTGTGCAGTTTGATCGAGCGGTAAGTGCGTTTGTTACTGACACCAGAAAGTATAATTCCTATCATCATCATCATCATCATCATCATCATCATCATCATCATCATCATCACCGAACAGCCAGACTCGCAGTATATACAAAATGGGTGAGAATGTGCAAGATGGACAGGGAATGGGCTTGTTTTGAGGGAATAAGGAAAGAAAACGAACCTCTCGGATCGACACAACATATGACTATATATATATATATATATATATATATATATATATATATATATAT